AGCGACCTTACATTTGCGGCCGATCGGGACCTTCCAACAGCTTGCACCTCTGCGGACGGTGGGGAAGGGCGCGCAACCGAATTTCAGGCGCCGAAAAATGATGGAGAAGTGGTTTGGATTGGGAGTCTTGTATTTGAGAGTTTGATAACCTTGAAAGACTCAATTGAAAGTTAAAGAGTTCTAATTAAATTTCGATTTGGTCCATTGGCCAAATACATAATTTATAAAAACTGAATAAAAAAATATTATTTTGTTTACATGTACATTGAGCCAAATGTGTATATATTATGTATTTGTAAGAAAAATAAATGTAAAATATTAAATAAAATATGTTTAGGTTAAATTTATGTAACCGAATAATCCACTTATCTCGGTTCAATTTCAGATTGGATTTGCACAATAAATAAATAAATCTTGCACGACAAGATGCACAATAGTAGAACAAATGATGCACAATAGTCATTGTCATACTGTGTAATATTGATGAAACATAAAAATGGTAAATCATGATTAATGTTATTTATATATTTAATTTATTATACAATTGTAATATTGTTTTCTCGTGCATCGCACGAGTCATGCACTAGTATATATAGAGAGAAAACCTATTTACCAAAATAGTAACAAAACAAATTCGTCAAAATTAATTGCATGCCACTTTAGAAAATTATTTGAGTTTTATTTATCATAAAATCATGCAACATTAAATGCTCCCTTAAATGGTGAGTTTATTCAATTATAGTTTATTCATTCAATTTTATCTTACCTTCCATATAATCATATTCCTAATAAACATTAAATTTTCTCAGATAATTTTAAATTAATTACATCAATAAATAATATTAATATAAATTTATCATTAGATAAAAAAAATTAGTTCTATAAGTATTATAAACAATAATGACATTATACGACAATAAGTTTTTGAATAAAATAATATTTGAGTATTATGATGAACTAAAGTATGTAATATTATTATTTTTATGTATTAAAAATGTATATATGTTAAAATATTGTTTATATTAATATAAACAGGTCAGCGGACTTATATATTGTTAAAATAAAGTTATGAAAAAATGTGGGAATGGAGAGTGCCTCGCATGGGTTGCATGGTGCCTTAGTCCAGGCCATTCGGGATCTTATGGAACGTGCATGGGTGGTGCACGTGGTGCACTGTTATCGGGAGGCTAATCTCGCTGTGGATAGTTTGGCTTCTTTGGCCCATTCCTGTCCTACTGGGTGCCAGCGACTTCTGGCACCGCTGCTAGAGGTTCAACGGTGGCTACTGCATGACGTCGTTGGCGTCGCCCATCCACGAGCAACTACGATCTAGCGGACTCTAGGCTCCGACCTCTTTTCTTGACCAAAAAAAAAAAGTTAAGAAAAAATGTTATAAAATACGAAACTCCGTGCATCGCACGAGATTCTCACTAGTGAAGTGAGAAAGAGAGAAAATAAGTTAAGGAAGAAAAATGTAATCAAGGTGATTTAATATCAAATTAGATGCCATCAAAGGCATCAAATACTCATTTAAAAAAANNNAAAAAAAAAAAAAAAAAAAAAAAAAAAGCATCAAATACTCAATAAAAATGGGTCAAGAGGGCGAGATTTGGCTGGACAAACTTCACAAAAAATAAGACCCTCAATATTTGAATTTTGATATAAAAAGAGGGGCCAAAAAAATTCAAATTGTCGGGTGAATTTTCCAAGTATTTGGGCCAAAACTTTTAACAACCTAAGGGTCGGTTTTTAAGTTTCAAATGGACCGAAAAAATGAAGCTTCCAAGCTCGTACGAATAGGCCAAAAAGAAAGCACGAATGTAGAAAATCGAACGATTTTTCATTTGACGAAGATAATAAAAATAATTAAAAAATAATTTAAATTGACGAGGACATTTACAAAAATTATTTAACTTATCAGATTAATTAGGCGAGGACATCTAAATAATTATAATAAGCTTATCCGAGTAATTTGTCAAGCAATATAATAAATAAATGAAATGCAATTCAAATAAAAATACAACAACTCAAATAAATCGAATGGACACTACGGCATTAACTATTAAACATACAATCTTTTAATTTGCTTTCTTCAAGTTATACAATACAAAATGGACAATCTTCGTATAAAGCGACACCAACCATAAAATGTGACAGAGTTCAATATAAAGTCGAAAAAAAAATTACTCTATACTTATATAATAAGGTATCCTATTTACCAAATTTAATAGGTTGAAAAGTCAACGTAATTAATGCATTGCTATTTCTGTCCATAATTTTATTTAATTATTTTATTTATTTGTCTTATATCCCATAAAATCAGTTTAAGAAAAAAAAATCACATAACATCTGATAAGTCAAAAAAATGACGTAAAAATCTTTAGTAAAATAAAAAAAAGCTTTATTTATTTGTCTTATTCCATATTAATGTCGATTTTGTCAAAACAAATCCCATAAAATCGGTGAAGTCAAAATTTGTACGTAAAGTCTATCTATACTAAAAAAAGGCAGATTCGAAATTCCTTATCTAATTCCTTCTTTTCTTTATCTAATTCATTCTTATTATCTAATTGTATAGAAATTTGTTCTGATTTTGTTCAATCCTCTATATTGTATTTGTATTATATCCCATAAAATCGGTTTAACCAAAAAAAAA